TGGGGTTTATACAAGCACAATCTAAATAAAACTTCTCCACAACAGGACAGGTAAGGTTGAAGGAAATGACTTGTAGAAATAGCAGAGGCTGGATTACTTCCAACCTTTCCAGCTTCTCCAGGTCCACTTGAATCAGCCGCCTATCTTCTATGCTTTTCCCCATAATTTGGTATCGTCTGCAAACTTGGCAAGTGTACTTTCCACATCCTCATCCAAATTGTTGATAAAGATGTTAAACAGCACAGGGCCAAGAGCCAAACCCTGAGGGACACCACTGGCCACCTTCCGCCAAGATGATACAGACCAGTCCACTAACACTCTCTGTGGTTGACCCCCTTTTATGTAGTTCTCAATCACTTTGAGATCTTGTGAGTTGAAAAAGAGAAGCCAGCTGTGGATATACAGAAAGCAACTGAAAGACACACAGTATTAAACCATATCACCTGTAGTTATGTCTTAATAACAAAAGTTAAGACGACAGCAAGAAAAGACCTTTGAGAAGTTCTTGGGTAAATTATAATAGGTACACAAAAGAGGACCACAGTAAAACCAGCTGGTAAAATATTTTTGCCCAATTCATATACAATCAAATACAGCAACTAAGTTTTTAATGTCAGGAATAGGTGAGGCTGATAAAGCAGTATTTGAAGATGGTAGGTAGGTAGGTAGGTAGGTAGGTAGGTAGGTAGGTAGGTAGGTAGGTAGGTAGGTAGGTAGGTAGGTAGGTAGGTAGGTAGGTTCAACATCACTGCCACCTCATTAGAATAAAGGAATCCACTCAACTACCTTCCTTTAAAAAAAAGCATTAAAATTAGGTGGTACATTCATAAAATCTGTGGGAAGGTATATCCTAAATTTAATACTATGCATCTGATTGACTGGCTTAGGTATTCACGTTCTTTATCCATATAAAGAGCAATAAAGACAACATTACTATAATCATTTTTACATCATCCTGTGAATTTGGCTTCAGCCTTATTCTGCTGGATCATTCTCTAAGGACTTCAACTTAAATTCCCATTTATCCTTTAGCTCACTTGAAATTACCAACAATTTTTCCAGCTAATTTTGTGATATAACTACCAGATCACTGGAAATTGAATTTATATCATCAATCGTATCTACTTTATTCCAGTTATATGCAAAAGGAGTCTGTACTGTCTAACCTTATCCTACAATACCTCCTCACTCACCTTTTATCAAACCTGTTTATATTTAGTCCATAAATATAAAAAAGCAAAACAAAACAAACAAAAATGAAAACCAAATTATTAGGAGTTAGGAGGCTGGAGGTTTTTTCTACTAAGGATTTCTCCCAAATTTGTTGATATCCTTCTAGTATTGAAGTGCCAGGAATTATATGCAATATTCAAGATTTGGGAGAACCAATGCCAACCAGAGAGGTGAACACCTTTCCAATAGCCAGTTTGAAGAGATATAGAAGATAATATCACGTAACACTTTAGCTTGGACTAAAAGCAAGAATGCTTTTATGCTCTCTCTTCTTTTCTATAAACTCATAAAAAAGTCTAAGGCACTTGATGTAACTATACATCAATGGGAGTCTTCTGATCTTTTTCTTCCAGAATAAAAAAGTACAGTACTTCAACTTTAACTAAAGAAGCTTTCTAAGGGAAATGGGCACAGTAAGTTATTTCATTCTCTACAGAGTCAATTATATAGTTTCAATTTACTTTGCACCACAGTCAGGATACAGGAGCTCCATGCTCTCACTTTGGGCTTGAGTTAGGCTTTAAAATCTCAGGAGTTCAAGTTAAAAACTTAATCTAATTTCTTCTCCTGTGGATATTTTTGTTCTCAACTAAAGAGAAAGTGTTATACAATGAGTAGTACACAGCTCAAAACTGCCACCTCTAGGCATTGTATAATGTTCTTTCACTCCTCAAAATAAATTATTTTCCTATTGTTCAATTTCTTAAGATCTCAAAGGTCAAACATCAAACTTTCACTGAAAGTGTGACAATTTAAGAGCCGATTTTTAGAGTCCAAACATGTTTAATATAGTTGAATCGGCATTCTCTCATCCCACGTAAAAATTCTCTTTGGGGCCATACTATTTACTACATTTGACTGACCAGTAATGTAAGCAATATATTATTCAATATTCTCTTTATACTGCTACCCCTGTCTGCATTATTGTCACATACTAAGTACTAAGGAATTTGGTTCCTGCAACTCGTATTAATGTTAATGAAAAGCTTATTTCCCTACTGAGGCAAAACAAATGTCTAAATTACATAAAAATCCTTTAACAATTAAATACTGGTAAAAGGATCTTTAAAATACTTTCAGATTATTCTGAAACACTGCAAGAAAATATTTGTAGAGTAAAATTTAAAAAATCAAAATCACAGGATCTTACAAAAATAGGGCTGGAAGGCACTTTACAAGGTCTTTTAGTCAAACCCCCTGCTCAAGACAGGATCATACCCGACTAGACTCTCTCTCCAACCTGCACTTGAAAATTTCCAGGGTTGTAAATTCCACAAGTTCTCTAGGCAGCCTAGTTCAATACTTGAGCATCCTCCAGCCCCTTCTACATTACATGTATTGCACAATTAACCAGTTAATTAATTGCATAATTATCTTAAGACCACCTGCACATGCAAAGTAGCTATCATATCATAAAAAGCTCCAACCAGCTATAAAGTAAGACCTCAAGAATGTGTACTAACTTTACAGCTGTTTGCTATCAAGCTTTATTCTGCACACATAGAAGGGTCTCTCCTGTATCTGGGAGCCCCCTCAGCTGACAGAGCTTCCATTTGCAGGGTGAAGTACAGCCACTTAAAAAGCCCAAGGCTGAATCAATTCAGTCTTTGCAGGTTAGTCTAAGATGCAGAAATTAAACAGAGAAACAACTCGACACACATTCACTTTTGATTCACAAAATACAGCCACATGCCTGCAGTGGCTCAGACTAGAAGCTGGAGGCACTAGAGCACAGCTCTCTGGCACACAGCCAGCACGGACTGTGTGTTCACTTCCTTTTCCTGATGCCCCCAAGGTCTCTGGGATTTACAGTTCAAAATCACAACACCAACACCACCACCACCACCACCCCCCTCTAACCCTTCTCTGCTGGAGCTGACAGCACAGTCCATCCCTGGGCTGGAAATCATGCTGAGGGGCTGTGTTTGAACTTGAACCAGGAAGGGGTCTGGGACAGAAGTTTCAGAAACCAGTTTGACCCAAATCAGTCAAGACTGATATTACATCTCCATCCTCTCCATAATCACCTTCCAGGTATTGGAAGACTGTTATCTAGTCCCCTCCTCAAGTCTTCTCTTCTCCAGGCTAAATAACTCTAATTCCTTCACCCTTTCCTCATAAGTTTTGTTTCCCAGTCCTCTAATCATTTTTGCCACTCTCCACTGGACTCTTTCCAATCCATCCACATCCTTCTTGAAGTGTGGGGCCCAAAACTGGATCCATACTGTACAGCACTGTCGATGATTATTCATGAGGCTTCACCAGTGCTGAAATAGCTGAAGAATCATTTCCCTTGATTTGCAAGTTAGACTCCTGTTAATACAACCCAGGATGCTATTGAACTTTTTTATTTTTTCTACATCAAAACCATACTGTTGGCTCATATTCAGCTTATGATTCACTGTAAACTCCAGGTTCTTCTCTGCAGTAGCCTAGCCAATCATTCCGTATTTGTGCATGCAGTTATTCCATCCCAAGTGTGGTACTTTGCACTTGTCCTTGTTGAATCTCTGCTGATTGATTGTGGGCCATTTTTCCAGTCTATGCAGATCATTCTGAATCCTAGCCCTGTCCACCAGAGGGTCTGTAGCTCTACTCAACTTGGGGTCATCTACAAATTTGCTAAGAAAACATACAACCCCATAATGCAAATCATTAATAAAAATGTTGAACAGTACCTGACCCAGGATAGACCCCTGGGGAACCCCACTTGATATCTCCACCCAGCTAGACACTGAGCCATTGATGATTACTCATGAGCCCAACACAACCAGTTATGCATCAACCTTACAGTATTTTCATCTGTCTGTATTTCTTTAGCTTGCTAATGAGGATGTTGTGGGAGACAATATCAAAAGCCTTGCTAAAGCCAAAATATAACACATCCATTGCTCCCCTCCCCCGCTGCACAGAGCCTGTCACCTTATCATAGAAGGAAATCATTTTGGTCAGGAATGACTTGCTCTTGGTGAATCCATGCTGGTTGTTCCTGATCACCTTGTTCTCCTCTAGGTGCTTCACAATTGATTCCATGAGGACCAGCTCCATGGTCTTTCCAGGTACTGAGGTCAGGCTGACAGGTTTAATTCCCTGGATCCTCCTTCCCTTTCTTACAGATGGACGCTATACTTGCCCTTTTCCAATCATCTGGGGCCTCATGCAATCTCCATGAATTCTCAAAAAGGATAGCCAATGGCTCCAAAATTACCTCCGTGAATTCCTCCAGCACTCTAAGCTATATCTGATTTGGCCCTGCCAAATTGAAAGCATCTAGCTGCTTTAAGTATTCCCTAACCTGTTCTGCTATTACTCAAAGCTGTCTGACTCCTTCCCTGTCCCTGTAGCTGTCCCTATTTGTTAGACTGAAGTAGAAAGGCTTTTACTTCAGCTTTCTCTGCATCATCTGTTAACTAGATTGCCTTTTGCTTTCTGCAACAGTACTTCTTACCTAAAGAATAATAATACAAAAGACAAGAAACCTGCCAGCTCCCATTGTATACTGTTTCACTCTCAGTCTCTGCTCTCAAAGCTCCAGGTCAGCTTACAAAATAAGTCATCATCTATCCCCAGAAAGGGTACAATAATTTTTCTAAGCCAGAGAGAACCAAGGGACAAGAGTATATAGACACTAAAGATGAGGTTATGTTCATGGTTTTAAGTTGATGAATAACTACACTGTAACTTTCAGGCTATCATTTCCATAATTGATGCTCATTAACACTGTACAGTAAATAGTGAATGGACTAGGACAGTAAAAGGATCCAAACCTGATATAAAGCAAGAGTATGTCCATATCTCTGAAGAGGTCCTTTTGCAACTGGTACTACATTCCATATGCTGCTTTCCAAATTATAGCTAAAAGAAAAAGAAAACATTGCGGATACAGTGAAATGCTAGATTTGCATTTTTAGTATAATTCTTTTGAACTTTACTTGCTCCAAATATAAATTGAGAATATAGATAAGGACCTCAACTTGTTGAGCACTTCAATAAGTTAACACAGAATTGGGAAATGCAGAAAAAAATATCATATTTATAA